CTCCCCACCCCCCCCTCACTGACAGAACGGCGACGCCGTGGGGTCGAAGCCTTTGAAGACGTCCTTGAGCGATTTATCCCCGTCCTCGTCCCTCCCGGGGCTCACCCCAAACACGGGGGGCACGGGGGGGTTGTGAGAGACCCCCGCCCCAAAAACCCCCTCCCCAATTTTGGCGCCTCGCGGCCGGTTGTAGCTGTTGTACCTGTCCGAGCTCTCCGCCCTCTCCTCCGCCTGTTCCAGCGCCGAGCGCCGCACGAAGGGCGGATCCTTGGGGCATTTCCTCCCCCCTTCCCCGGGATTTTTTTGGGACGGATTCCCATCGTTTTGGGGTTCTTTGGACGAGCTGCAAGTCCGAGGGTCGTAAAGGCTGATGGCGCTCAGGACGCTGCTCTGGCCGGAGCCTCCCCAGCTCAGCCGGGGGTCGTAGGGAGCGATGGCCGGGCCGGGATCGGGTTCGGCTCGGGAATCGCCGCGCTCCGGGGATTTCTGGAGCCGGGAGTCGCCGCGCTCCGGGGATTTCTGGAGCCGGGAGTCGCCGCACTCCGAGGATTTCTGGAGCCGGGGGTCGCTGGGGGCTTTCCGGACGCGGGGGTCGCTGGGTTTGTCCCCGGACGAGGAGGACGCGACGCTTTTGAGGATCCGGGAGAGGAGCTCGAAGTTGGGAAGAGCCGAGGAGGAGGAGGAGGAGGAGGAGGAGGAGGATGAGGAGGAGGATTCGGATGAAGCCGGACGAGGCGTCCGAGGGTCCGAGGGCGGCCGGAGCACCCGAGGGTCGGCGGGAGGAGGAGGAGGAGGAGGAACGGGAACGGGATCCTGCTTGGGGACGGGGAGCGGGATGAGATCCTCGGGGCTCCAGAGCACGGAGCGAGCGAAGGGAGGACGGATCAGCACCACGTCCTTGCGGATGTGGGAGAACTGCTGGAGCTGGCAGCGCGGATCCCGCTGGGAATAACCGGGAACGGCGTCCAGCGGGATGCTCAGGGCTTTATCCCGCAGGACCCGCTCCCCATCCTCATCCTCCGCCGCTTTCTGGGCAGGGGGAGCGCCGCCGCCGCCGCCGCCGCCGCCGCCGTGCCGAGCCAGCCGAGGATCCGAGGGATGATCCGAAGCGGGGGGCTCGGAATTCCGGGCCAGCCGGGGGTCCCGGAGCCGGGGGTCGGAGGGACGGGGGGGTCTCTGGAGCCGGGGGTCGCTGGGGGGGTCTCCGGAGGGGTTTTGGGATCGGCCGGAGCTCTGCTGGCGCAGGGATTTGAGGATGGAGGTGACGCTGCTGCCGCCGTCGTCTTCGTCGCTCGAGTACCAATTGCCGGGGTCGCCTGGGAGGAGGGGAAAGGAAAAACGGGGGGAAAATGGGGAAATTCGGGGAGTTTTGGGGGGTTTGGGGGAGTTGGGAATGGCGGTGGGAAAGGGGGGGGGGTCGTGGTAAAGGAAAATTGGGAGTTTTGTCCCGAAAATTTCCAGGAAATCCAGGAGAAGGATCGGGATCAGGATCGGGATCAGAACCGGGATTGGGACCAGGACTGGGATCAGGATTAGGACCAGGACCAGAACCGGGATCGGGATCAGGACCAGAACCAGGACTGGGACCAGGACCAGAACCAGGACTGGGACCAGGACCAGAACCAGGACTGGGACCAGGACCAGGACCAGGACTGGGATCAGGATCAGAACCAGAACTGGGATCAGGATCAGAACCAGGACCGGGATCAGGATCAGAACCAGGACCGGGATCAGGATCAGAACCAGAACTGGGATCAGGATCAGAACCAGGACCGGGATCAGGATCAGAACCAGAACTGGGATCAGGATCAGAACCAGGACCGGGATCAGGACCAGAACCAGGACTGGGACCAGGACCAGGACCAGGACTGGGACCAGGACCAGGACCAGGACTGGGATCAGGATCAGAACCAGGACCGGGATCAGGATCAGAACCAGAACTGGGATCAGGACCAGAACCAGGACTGGGATCAGGACCAGAACCAGGACTGGGACCAGGACCAGGACCAGAACCAGAACCAGGACCAGGACCAGAACCAGGACTGGGATCAGGACCAGAACCAGGACTGGGATCAGGACCAGAACCAGGACTGGGATCAGGACCAGGACCAGAACCAGGACTGGGACCAGGACCAGGACCAGAACCAGAACCAGGACCAGGACCAGAACCAGGACTGGGATCAGGACCAGAACCAGGACTGGGATCAGGACCAGAACCAGGACTGGGATCAGGACCAGGACCAGAACCAGGACCGGGACCAGGACCAGGACCAGAACCAGGACCAGAACCAGAACCAGGACCGGGACCAGGACCAGAACCAGAACCAGGACCAGAACCAGAACCAGGACCAGAACCAGAACCAGGACCGGGACCAGGACCGGGACCAGCACCAGCACCAGAACCAGGACCAGGACCAGAACCAGGACTGGGATCAGGACCAGCACCAGAACCAGAACCAGGACCAGGACCAGCACCCCTTTCCCATTCCCGCTCACCCTCCTCGTGCTCCCTGTCGCTCCGGCCGCCCTCGGCCGCTCTCCGGCCGCGCTCGTCCTGCGCCCGCTGCTTGTGCCGGATGCGCAGGAACAGCGCGCGCTGCGCCGAGGGCAGGAATTCCGGGATCCCGGCGATCCCGCCCATCCCCGCAGCGCCCTCGGCATCCAGGGAATCCTCCGGGAACAGGGGATCCCCCCCCGGCCCCTCGGCCGCCTCGTAGGAGCCGTAATCCTCTGGATTTGGGGGGGAAAAAATGGGAATTGGGGGTCGGGGGGGGGAGAAAAATGGGGATTGGGGGGGGGATTTTGGGATGGGGAGGGGGAATTGGGGTGAACCACCCCGATTTCCTGGGATTTTGGGGTTCTTCCACCCCGACTTCCCGGGATTTTGGGGCTCCCACCCCGATTTCCCGGGATTTCAGGGCTCTCCTCCCCAGATTTCCTGGGATTTTGGGGTTCTTCCACCCCGACTTCCCGGGATTTTGGGGCTCCCACCCCGATTTCCCGGGATTTCAGGGCTCTCTTCCCCAGATTTCCCGGGATTTTGGGGCTCCCCCCCCGATTTCCCGGGATTTCAGGGCTCTCTTCCCCAGATTTCCCGGGATTTCAGGGCTCTCTTCCCCAGATTTCCCGGGATTTCAGGGCTCTCTTCCCCAGATTTCCCGGGATTTCAGGGCTCTCTTCCCCAGATTTCCCGGGATTTCAGGGCTCTCTTCCCCAGATTTCCCGGGATTTCAGGGCTCTCCTCCCCAGATTTCCTGGGATTTTGGGGTTCTCCCACCCCATTTTCTCAGGATTTCGGGGTTCTCTCTCCCCGGATTTTTTGGGGGTCTCTCCCAGGATTTGGGGTCTCTCCCCCAGGATTTTTCGGGTCTCTCCCAGGGTTTTGGGGTTCCCTCCCCCAGGATATTTTTTGGGGATTTTGGGGTTCTCCCACCCCATTTTCTCAGGATTTCGGGGTTCTCTCTCCCCGGATTTTTTGGGGGTCTCTCCCAGGATTTTTTGGGGGTCTCTCCCAGGATTTGGGGTCTCTCCCAGGATTTGGGGTCTCTCCCAGGATTTGGGGGTCTCTCCCAGGATTTGGGGTCTCTCCCAGGATTTGGGGGTCTCTCCCAGGATTTT